TCCCTGTTTTACAGATGAGAAGACTGAGCCCCAGAGGAACCGGGACCTCGTCCGTTGTCATGCAGCTGGACAGACAGGACTGAGCCCAAGTTGGTGGTTCTTGGTCACCGCTGTCACCTCCCCCAGCGCCCCGGCCCCCCACCCCTCTGCGCCCCACTGTTTATTTATGTTCCCTGATCACTTCCGAAATTCAAGGCCGCTTCCAGGAAAGTGCGTGGCAGGAACCGGGAGAGTCCGGCGTACAAGACTTTGCAGCTGGCAGGGCTGGGGGCAGCAGCTGGGGGCTCCTGCTTCGGCTGGAACCGTGTCGATGGGGTCACAGTGCCGGGGTGACGTCACCCCATTCCCGGAGGTGCCACTGCAGAGGCGGTGAGTGTCTGGGAGCAGCCCAGGCCTTTTCTCCTGTGCCCTGTCACCCACCAGCCTCTGTCCAGCTCCCTCTGTCACGGGCCCCTGACAGCAGGGTCAGCTCAGCGCGACCCACCGCCCTCACGCCAGCCGCCCTGGCACGACAAAGCCATGCAATGAGGGTGACATGGGGCTGGAGCGATAGCACAGCGAGTAGGGCGTTTGCCTTGCACGCAGCCAACCTGGGTTCGATTCCCAGCATTCCATAGGGTCCCCCAAGGAGTAATTCCTGAGTGCAGAGCAAGGAGTAACCCCTAAGCATCATCGGGTGTGACCCAAAAAACAAACAAAGAAAAAGAGGGGACCGGACTTGGTGTCACCCAGGCAGGCAGTCTGTCCCATCTGGGGGTGTGACAAGGCCGGTGATCCTTCTCCTCCCTCCTGCCCACAGCACCTGTGCCCTCTGGAAGTGACACTTTCTCCCGTGAGGGCCTGTGGGGAGGGGCCATGCCCGGCCATGCCCGTGTAGGGTCAGGAACAGCTGCGGGACTCAGGCCAGGCCAAGGCCAGCTGGGTCTGGGAGTGTGGGAACTCGGCGGGCAGTGGGGGCCCGGACGCCCGTCCCCGCTCCTGAAGACACTGAGCTGGCATTTCTGATGGCTGCTGAATTGGCTGTAGAATCAGCCCAGGGCAGAGTGGATGGGTCAGCACTGTCTGCTCCGAGGAGAGTGTGTGGCGCCCTGATCCAGCTGGGCCTGAAGCTCATCCCCTCTGTGCTGGGTAGTCATTTGAGCTTGGGTTAGGACATATAAAACCAAGGGGCCTGGGCTGTGGACTGGAGCGTATGGTTTACAGGTAGGAGGCCCGGATTCGATGCACGGGACCTCGTGGTTCCCTGAGTATCACTGGCAGTAACACACAAATCCTCTTTCTCCCTCTCCCCCATCCCCCCGCAAGCCACTCAAAAGAAGTAAGTAGGCTTTGAGTGTTCCTGGATGTGGCCCAAAAAGAAAAAGGGAAGGAAGAAAGGAAGGAAGGGAGGGAGAGAGGGAGGGAGGAAGGAAAGAAGAGAAGAAAGATAGGCTATTTCATTAGGGAAAAAACCCATCCCTGTTCCTGCAAGCCAACGATTTTTTTTTTTTTTGCTTTTTGGGTCACACCCGGAGATACTCAGGGGTTACTCCTGGCTCTGCACTCAGGAATTACTCCTGGCAGTGCTCACGGCACCATCTGGGATGCTGGGAATCGAACTCGGGTCGATTGCAAGGCAAGGCAAACGTCCTACCCGTTGTGCTATCCCGCTGTGCTATCGCTCCAGTCCTCCACCCCATTTTTTTTCCCCTGACACTACATACAAGCCCCTCTGCTCTGAGTTCACCACTTGCTGGTGTGGCTGAGGTGCGCTGGTCCCAGGACTGGTCCCAGCACATTCTAGGCCCTTCCATGCTCCCAGCTCCACCAAAACTTCCCATCTGTCTTCAGTCCTATTTGCAGATGCCACATTAGGAGGGTCAGGCGCGGGATGGGGTGGGGACACTGGGTCCTCACGCCCCTCCCCCACCTTCTCCCCTTGATTTGATTCCATCAGCTCCTCAAGGCGCCCCGAGGCAGTCGGGCGTCAGAGACAGGGTGCAGGTAGGAAGGGGCAGCTCGGGATGCCCTGACGTGTAGACGGACTTGGCTCAGAGCACTGGCTCGCCCTTGCTTCCCCGGTGCCTCAGTTTCCTCTCTGGTAAAATCCAGAGCTGGTTAGGTCCTGTGGGAATGGTGTGTCCAGGAAGTGACAACAGCTCCAGCGGGGAGGCCGCCTGGGGAGGCTTCAGAGGGGCTGGAGATGGACGTGCTGGCCCTCGTGTCGGGGGAGCAGGGCTGAGGACGGGGGAGGGGGGACGTCCTGGTGTCCCACTCCAGCCCTGTTACAGGACGGTGGTGCCTCCCGGGAGAGGTTGGGCGGTGCCCCCAAGCCTGTCCTCCCAGCCTGGGAAGTCACCCCATCTTTTTTGGGGGATCACACCCAGCAATGCACAGGGTTTACTCCTGGCTTTGCTCTCAGGAATTACTCTTGGCGGTGCTCGGAGGACCTCGTGGGATGCTGGGACTCGAACCCAGGTTGGCCGCGTGCCAGGCAAACGCCCCACCCGCTGTGCTATCGCTCCAGCCCCACCCCATCTTTTTTTTTTCTTTTTGGCGTTTTGAGTCACACCCAGTGACCTGGCGATGCTCAGGGGCCACACCTGGCTCTGCACTCAGCAATTACTCCTGGGATGCCAGGGATCGAACCTACATCAGCCACGTGCAAGGCAAGCTCCCCCCACCCCCCCTTCCGCTCCCCACGGTACTACAGCCCGGACCCAAGTCACCCCAGCTTGCAGGAGGCTTTGCCCCGCCCTTCAGGGCTCCGCCCGCCTCCCTGGGGACTTCAACCCTCAAGGCTGCTGCTTCCGCCTGCCTTGACCAAGGCCAGGGCCTCCTGGGGCTGGGGTGGGGACAACGGGCCCAGCCCTCCTGCAGGTGTTTTTTCGCAATTACATCATACTCTGCCCCGCCCAGCCGCCCCCCCCCCCCCCCAGCCTCCCTCGAGGGTGCGTTAATGAGCCGCTCAGGTGCCTGCCCGGGACCAGGTGTCCCAGCCCTCCGGGTTTCCGGGAAACAGAGATAATTCAGAGAAATGGGTGCCCCAGCTCCCTGCAAGCCAGGCCGGCCCGCACAGTTGGATAAAGACCGGCTTCATCTCATTCTTTGCCGAAACAGCTTGGCGGGGGAGAGAGAGTTCGAGCAGCCCACCTCGCCTTGCGTGCAGCCCACCCCAGTCCAAGCCCTGGCCCCGAGCACGCTGCCCCCCCACCGCAGAGCACCGCCAGGGGGCGCTGCTGAGTATCAGAGGTTATTTCCTTGCCACTCCAGCAGGCTGTGAGAACCCCAAAAACACGAAGACTGGTGGTTGCTGTTGGAAGTTCCTGGCCCAGGTGGAAGCAGCCCGCGGGCCTTGCACCCCGGGTGCCCAGGCAGGCATCACTCATCCAGCAGGAGGCGGTAGACCTGGCCAATCAATCGCAGTGCTCTTTCCTCAGGACCTCAGAGGAAGCAGAGAGCATCTCCAGGGCGGATCAGATCAAATTCAGCAGTACTTGCCATTCCTGGATCCTTCCACCTCAGCCTGGAGGCCCCCGGCTCGGGCACAACCCCCAGATTCCCTAGTTCCCAGGTCTCAGCTGCCCCTGGAATCCTGTCTTGCCTCTGGATGGGGACTTATATTTTGCTTTTTTCTTTTCGGGTCATACCCAGAAATGCTCAGGGATTACTCTTGGCTCTACACTCCTGGTGGTGCTTGGAGAGATCATATGGGGTGCTGGGGATCGAACCCGGGTCAGCTATGTGCAAGGCAAATACCCTCCCCTCTGGATTCTTGCTCTGGTCCTGGATGGGGACTTTTGGCTCTTCCTTCCTTCACCCCAAGATGTTCCCTCCAAGCAGTCACTCTGTGTGGCTGGTGGGCTTCAGGGCTCTGTGGAGCATTGATGAATTGATGAAAGGTTTTTTTTTTGGTTTTTTTTTTTTTGCTTTTGGGTCACACCCGGCGATGCATAGGGGTTACTCCTGCCTCTGCGCTCAGGAATTCAGGAATTATCCCTGGCGGTGCTCAGGGGACCATATGGGATGCTGGGAATCGAACCCGGGTCGACCACGTGCAAGGCAAACGCCCTACCCATTGTGCTATTGCTCCAGCCCCCAGTTTTTTTTTTAATTTGTATTTTGGGGACACACTCGGCCGTGCTCAGGGTTTCCTCCTGGCTCAGTGCTCAGGGATCATGTGCGATGTCAGGAGTAAGACCAGGCTGGCCGTGTGCAAGGCCATCACTGTCCCGGCTGTACTATTACTCTGACTCCTGACACAAGTTTTTATTATGAACTGTTTCAGGTGTCCTCAAAGGGCAGATAAGGATATTGCGGGTAACTGTGTTCCTGTGGAAGTAGCAGAGCAATAGGGGGACATGATGCGGTTCGGGTCATCCCCCTCCTCCCCCCAACAGATGCCCTCTCTCAAGGCTCCACCCCCTGTTCTACCTCACCAGGAAATTGGACGGGAATGAGGCAGCCCACTCCTGAAGGGTGCCCCTTCTCTCACACCTGGTCTGGGGGTTTGATGAGCGACTGTGCCCCTGCCTCGTCCCTGCGGGCTGGGCCTGCCTTAGCCTGCAGCGGCTTCACCCCCAGGTGAACTTGGGGTCCTGACACCAGGCTCCGAGTTGCCCCAGCTCGGCTCCCACTTAAGGCCAGACCCCTGGGGTGGGGTGGGGGGCTCAGCAGAGCCTCACTGGGCCTGGGGGGCCAGGGAACGGGGCTCCCCGTAGCCCCAGAGCCCACATGAGCTTGTAGATTTGCCCACTAGGCTCTGTCCTGGCCCCCCTGCACCCTCCCCATGCGGGGCCCCTCCACCCCCTTCCGTAGCCCCTTCTCCCCAAGCCACCCCCCCCCCCCACCAAGGGCCCCACCGGAAGCGTGGGAAGGGAATTTCAGCCTTGCACCGCCCAGAGGGATTCTGAGCAGCCCTGGCTTTAGGGGAAAGTGAAACTGGCCTTGGTGGGGGCGGAGTGGCCACCGGGGATTTAAGGCCTGCCACTTCCTCAGCCCCCAGAGGGCACAGGGAGGTCACCGCCTCCAGGGACACCCTGAACCGGGAAGCCTCTGTCCCCTGCCCAAGCATGCATCTCTACGGGCCCCAGGAGCTGCTGGCTGGGCCGGTGAGTGGAGGGGATTGGTGGGGGGGAGAAGGAGCTTCTGCCTCAGGGTCCCAGTGCCACGCAGGGAGGGCTGAGCCCAGGGTTCCCAGTGCCCAGGCAGAGAGGGCTGTGTCCCGGGTCCCAGTGACCAGGAAGGAAGGAGTGTGTCTGGGGTCCCCAATACCCAGGCAGGGAGGGGTGTGCCCGGGGTCCCCAATACCCAGGTAGGGGGGTGTGCGTGGGGTCCCCAATTCCCAGGCAGGGAGGGGTGTGCCTGGGGTCCCACTGCCCAGGCAGGGAGGGGTGTGGCTGGGGTCCCAGTGCCCAGACAGGGAGGGGTGTGCCCGGAGTCTCCAATACCCAGACAGGGAGGGGTGTGCCCGGGGTCCCCAATACCCAGACAGGGAGGGGTGTGCCTGGGGTCCCAGTGCCCAGGCAAGTAGGGCTGTGCCCGGGGTCCCAGCTCTGTGCCCAGGGGTTCCTCCACGCCCCTCCAGTCTCACTGTTGAGTCCTGAACAGTCAGTGGTTAGAATGAGGGGTTTGCGGGGCTGGAGAGATAGCACAGCGGGTAGGGCGTTTGCCTTGCATGCAGTTGACCCGGGTTCAATTCCCAGCATCCCATATGGTTCCCTGAGCACTGCCAGGCGTAGTTCCTGAGTGCAGAGCCAGGAGTAACCCCTGTGCATCACCGGGTGTGACCCAAAAAGCAAAAAAAAAAAAAGAATGAGGGGTTCGCATCTGAGGCACCTTCTACCCGCCCTGATGAAACTTCCCCTCTCACCCTGAGTCCCCTGGGGGGGTGCCTCTTTCCCAGCCAGTTCCCAGAGGCCACCCTCATCCTAGCCAGGTGCCCAGGGATAGAGCCCCCGCCTGCCCCCCCGCTCAGAACACCCCCTCCAAGGATGACTGCGGAAAACGCGTGGCCCTCAGGTCCCCACTGTTCCCCTCTTGCCTGAATGATTTCCCAGGACCCCTGGGCAAGGCAGGGACCCTTGAGCAGGGAGCAGGTCACCACTGTCCCCGAGTCAGAAACTCTCCATCCATTGGAGGGGTCGCCTGCTGGGGGGGGGGGGGTGGCGCGGTGGGCTCTGATGGCCACTGTGCCCCCTTCTCCATGCCAGGCACCCCGTGAATGTCCAGGAAAAGGGGTCAGGCTGGAGCTGGGCATCAGCGCACCCCGGGAAGGGCGAGACTGGAGCCAGCGGTCAGGAGAGTGTGGGCGTGGGAGGGCACCCCAGCGCCCAGTGGCCAGCGTGGCCTCCCAAAATCTGGGCTGTGAGCTGAATACGTGGGGGCCCCAACTCCAGGGATGGGCTTTGATGCTGGGAGCAAGCCCTGCGGGAGTCCCCTGAGCCCGCGGTCCCCGCCCTGCAGTGCCCCTCGGAGCAGCAGAAGCAGCTGAAGAAGAAGCAGGCGAGCCGCGTGGCGGCCCAGCGCAGCCGGCAGAGACACACGGACAAGGCGGACGCCCTGCACCAGGTGGGCCCCCCACCACTGCCCCTCATGCCTTGAGATTCCTGGGGGCTAAGCTCAGGGCAGAGCCTGGAAGGTGCATCCTGACACCCCCAGAGCAGTGGGGCGATGGGAAGCAGGAGCACGAGGGAGCAGCGGCACAGTGTTGCGGTCAAGGTCCCTGCCCAGGTGCCCCTCCAGCCTGAGGGTGCCCCCCATGATCGCCCTGGGACTCTGAGGAGGTCACCAGGCCACACGGGGCCAAGTCAGGTTCAAGACAGACGGGCGTCGGGGCTGGAGCAGTAGTAGAACAGGTAGGGCATCTGCCTTGCATGTGGCCGACCCGGGTTCGATTCCTAGCATCCCATAGGGTCCACTGATTACCGTCAGGAGTGATTCCCAAGTGCAGAGCCAGGAGTAACCTCTGAGCATCGCGGGGTGTGACCCAAGGCGGGGGAGAAGACAGGCATTGGTGGCCAGCACCACTGTGGTCTCTTCCTTCTCTGAGCTCCACTGGGGTCGTTCCTCAGGGCAGGGACAGTCCTTTCTGCATGCCGGCGGGACCCTTATGGGCATGACAAGAGGCTGGAAGCCATGTGGGAGTTGTCAGGGGGTGCCCCCGGCACTTACGTATTTTGTTGTCTTTGGCGGTCAGCTCTGGAAGCGCTCAGGGGCTACTCCTGGCTCTGTGCTCAGGGATCAGTCCTGGTGGGGTTCAAGGGACCATGTGGGGTGGCGGGAATTGAACCCAGGCCAGCCACATGCCAGGCAAGCATCCTCCCCGCTGTGCCATAACTCCGGCCTCAGCACTTCCCTCCTGACCCTGGACTGTCCCTTCCCACCCTGGCATCCCTCACCCCGACCTCCACCTCCTCCCTGGCCAGGCTCAGACCTCCCCTGCCCTCCATCCACGGAGGGTAACCCAGCTGGAGCTCGATTCATTTTTCTTTTTCTGTGAATTTTTGGGGCCACTCACACCCCATGTTGCTTGGGGGTCACTCTGGACGATGCTCGGGACCGTGTGGTGCTGGGGATTGAAGCTGCACTCAGTCCTTGGCGCTGCTCCCTGGCTCCAAGGGGCCTTCCTGAACCGCCTCTCCCGTTAGCCCTGGCCGTGTCGCTCGTGTCAACCTTGCTCTGTGCTTGTGTCTACACAGCCTGTAAGTGCCCCGAAGGTAGGGAATGATTCCTGCCCTGCTCTTTCCCCATAGCTTTTAACACAGAGGAGAAATTTCCCGTGGAGCCCACAGGAGAGTCAGAACTAAGACTTCAGGAACACTAGCAAGGACAGCTGGCACAGAGAGCCAGGGGATGGGGGTAAAGTCAGAATGGATTTTGCAGGGTGAATAGGAGTTTTCCACCTGAGCAAAGGGAGTGAAGAGCACTGTAGGCAGAAGACACGGCCGGGTGCAAGTGTCGGGAGCAATCTTCCAGAACTGCCAGGGTGGCCCTGGGGGTCCCTGGCACTGCAGGCCCAAGCAGCACACATCCTCAGGCGCTAGCCCTGAACTGCTGGCACCGTTGGCCGAGTATGTCTGGGAGGGCCCCCCAAATCCCATGAGCACTGCTCAAGCCCAGGGCCAATGCCACTACAGGGCAGAGCCCATAGGAGTGTGTGGGCCGTTCCTTCTAGAAATGTCCACTGAGCATCTCTGCCGTGGCAGGCTTACTTGTAAGCACTGGAGATACAGCTGGGAACACAGAAAACCACCCCCCCACACACACATGCATGTACACGCACACACACACACACACACTTGCACACACGTGCACACACACATACACATACATGCACATATGTGCATCTCCTGCTTCTGAGTCAGACCCAAAAACCTCCAAGAAGCATTTGGGATGTTGGAGAGATGTTCCAGGGAGAGGTATGGCAGATAGGAGGGTGACAGGTGGCCAAAGGGGTGCAGGAAAGTTAGGGGGAGGGGTGGGGAGGGAGTGAAGAACGAGTGAATGAAGCAGAGACTGAGTGGGCCCATTTCTGCAAGTGAAGTCTTTCGTTCATTGGAGGCCTCACCCCAAAGTGCTCAGGGCTTATTCCTGGCTCTGTGCTCAGGGAGCACTCCTGGCGGGTCTCGGATCATGTGTGGTACCATGGATCGAACCTAGGTCTGCAGCACAAGGCAAGTGCCCGGCCTGCTGTACTGTCGCTCCAGCCCCCTGAACTGTCACTGTCACTGTCCTCCCATTGTTCATCGATTTGCTCGAGCGGGCCCAGTAACATCTCCATTGTGAGACTTTATTATTACTGTGTTTGGCATATCAAATACAACTCGGATAGCTTGCCAGGCTTTGCCGTGTGGGCGAGATACTCTCGGTAGCTTGCCAGGCTTTGCCGTGCGGGCGAGATACTCTTGGTAGCTTGCTGGGCTCTCCGAGAGAGGCGGAGGAATTGAACTTGGGTCGGCCATATTGGCCGCTTGCAAGGCAAACGCCTTACCTGCTGTGCTATCGCTCCAGCCTGTCCCTGAACTGGTCTTGAAGAATTCCTTTCTTTCTGTTTTGGGGCCACGCCTTGAGGTGTTTAGGGGATACCTGCTCAGTCCTTGGGATCACACTGGATCTCCCTGCCCCCTGCACATAGAGCTCATGCTTCTGCCCACAGGGCTCTCTCCATCCTTAAGAACTGGTTTAAAATCTGGGGCCAGAGCAATAGTACAGACAGTAGGGCATTTGCCTTGCACGCGCCAGCCTGGGTTCGATCCCCGGCATCCCATATGGTGCACTAAGCTCTCCAGGAGTGATTCCTGGGCACAAATTCGATAGTACTCCCTGAGCACTGCTGGGTGTCACACAAAGACATAGTAATAATAATAATATTAATAATAATAATATTAATAACAATAATATCACTGTAGCACTGTCCTCCCATTGTTCATCAATTTTCTCGAGTGGGCACCAGTAATGTCTCACAACAAATTGTGAAACTTGTGGTTACTGTTTTTGGCATATCGAATACGTCACGGGTAGCTTGCCAGGCTCTGCCGTGCGGGCGAGATACTCTCGGTAGCTTGCCGGGCTCTCCGAGAGGGGCGGAGGAATCGAACTCGGGTCAGCCACGTTGGCTGTGTGCAAGGCAAACGCCCTACCGCTGTGCTATTGCTCTAGCCCCAATACGTAACAACAAAACAAAAAGGAAAGAAAAAAACTGCTTTGTAGATTCTTCTCTTTGCCCCTTTCCCTGGTGTGAGGATTTTGCAAGGGGTTAAACACTGGAGTTAGGGTGTGGCAGGGAGTCCCTATGCCTTCCTGGTGGAGTTCCCACATTCCTGGATGTGTGCTGGGGCTCGAACTCTCCCCCTGAGCTCCATCACTGCACCCCAGAAATGCACAGGGAGTAGCACTTAGTACAGTGCCCGTTCAAGCCGCCAGTCAGTACAAACATCCCCCTGGGAGGGGACTGTGCGGGGTAGTGACATCCCAGCCACCTAGGGGACAGAGTGCTGGCAGAGGAGGTGGGGAGAATAAGGGGAACACCCCGAGTCCATCTGAAGGAAGTGAGGAACAGGCTGAGCCGTGGAGGCTGAGATGCTGGAGGGGTGAGCAAGGTACCACTGCACGGGAGTCGGGCTCTCCAGGACCGGAAGGTGGGTGGTTGGGGGGTCCACTCATTAGGGGGGCGATGGCCATCCTGGGCTGGGGAGCTGGCAGTGACGATAGAGGGCAGGTTGGGGAGACCAGCAGGGGGTGGTCCTTGTGCCCAAAGTCGCGCAGCTGGGTTGGGGGTGCAGGGCTGGGCTGACCCCCACCCTCCTGCACCCACAGCAGTACGAGTCCCTGGAGAAGCACAACCTCGCACTGCGAAGGGAGATCCAGGCACTACGGGACGAGCTGGGCAGGTGGAGCCGGACCCTGCAGGAACACGAGTGTCTGTGCATCTCGGACTGCACTGCCCACGCACCTCCGCTGCCCCTGGACTGCTGGGGCCGCGCTGAGCAGACCCCTGGCCCCGCACCCCTCGGACAGCACTGCAGCCCAGAGCAACAGCCGGGCCTGTTCCCCGCACCCCCAGTCTCCTCGGCTCCCCGCCGGCAGCCCCACAGCGCCCCCAGCCTCCTCCTGTCCCCTCCGCCCTCACTGTCCCTCGGCCCTGCCGACCGGACACCTCCCCCTGCCCAGCCGACCTCAGCCAGCGGCGCCGGCCAGCTGAGCCCATTCTCCGAGCTCAGTGCCCTTTTGCCCTGCCTGGCGGCCCCTCCACAGCCCCTGGAGCGGAAGCAGCCGCTGGGGGTGAGGTCGGGGGCCTCCCCCTTCCGCCCTTCGGTGACTCCGGAGCTGACAGCCCTGCAGGACCCCCAGCACCCCGTGTCGGCGGCTGCATGCTGGCTGGATGAAGACCCGGGCCCCCAGCTCCTCCTGGCTTTTCCCCTGCTCTCCTCTGCTCAAGTCCACCTCTGACCAAGCCGGGCGCCCCCCTCCCCAGGCCTGGGTGCCCACTGCCCTTTGGAAGCTGCCCTGTGTGTCCACCACCCTGCCAAGACCCAGTCAGTGTCTCTGTCTTAACTTTGCCTCGTGGACAGGCTGCGAGATGCAAATGATCGTGCCCCCTTTGCAGAGAGGGAGGAAAGCTCGGAGAGGTCATTCAGCTTTTCTGACCCCACACAGCCCTTCCTGGCAACCTGAATCACCACCCCCTCTGCTCCTCTTCTGTGGGATCCTGGCCCAGGGGGCTGGAGGGGTGTGAGGCTTAGGTGCTGGGAGGGGACTCCTCCCTCAGTCACTGTGATTGCCAAGGCAGCGGGGTCCCCTGGCCCCTGCAGCCTCGCCCTGGCTGGGGCCGGTCCAGAGTCCACAGCTGGGTGGGGAGGCCCTGCAGGAACCGGATGGGAACTCTTCCCTGGGTGGGGTTTCAGAGTGGAGGAAATGAACCTGTGAGTGGGCGTGGGCGCAGTTCCCCTGGAATGTCTCCAGAGGGGGTGCTAGGTGCAGGGAGATTCTGCAGGGGAAATCCTCCAGGCTCTTCCCCTAAGCTCCCAGTAGTCACTGTCCCCCCCCACATCCCAGGGCCATGGACGGGTGGCCTTCCCAGAATCACGCTCATCACCCACAGGAAGAGACGGGGCTTCTGGGAGCCACTCATGTCCTGCACAGGAAGAGGCGGGGCTTCTGGGAGCCACTGGTGTCCACACAGGAAGAGGCGGGGCTTCCGGGGGCCACTCATGTCCTGCACAGGAAGAGGCGGGGCTTCTGGGAGCCACTCGTGTCATTCCTGGTAAAAGTTGGGAGCAAGTGAGGGTAGGGCTATGGACAAGATAATGTTTAAGCAAGTTCTGGGCTTGGACCTGGCAGGGGTGGACCCCGTGTCCTCTCCCGTTCCTGGTCCATCTCTGGGCATCCCGTGGTGCCTTGTTATCCTCAGGCCCCTCCCAGCAGTACCCCTTTCTGCCCTGAACCTGATGGCAGGTGTTAGAATGGCGGGACGTTGGCAGGGGCATGGCTCGAAGGTCACCCCCAGGCACTGGGATGGGAGCTGCAGCCGTTCCTCCCCATCTCCTGCACATGAAGCAGTCACTGCACCCCGATGACTCCCTCGGGGCACCGAGCTCAGGTCTCCCACATTTCTGATGGCCAATAAAGAGTTTCTCACTTCTCTCTGCCTTGGCTGCTTGACCCAAGCTCTACCCGGAACCTGCTCTGCTGAAACCATAGCGTCTTTGATATCACTTAATCACTTATCACTTAACTTCCCGTTAGTCGGCGATTTGCTCGAGCGGGCGCCAGTAACATCTCCCTTTGTCCCTGTCGCGTGCTAGTGTAGCCCAATGGCATCTGTCCGCTCCGGGAACATGAAGAGCCCCAAAACGATCGTTCATGATCTTGACGAAGAAGTCTGACCATCTGGTAGGTGGGCGACCACGCGGTCTTTTGACATCCCGTGGAATCCAGTCAGTGACAGCTCTAGTCCAGCGGTCGTCTTTAAATCTCATTGCGTGACCAGCCCATCTGATTTTTAAAGTAATGTAGGAGTGGGCTGGAGCGATAGCACAGCGTGTAGGGCGTTTGCCTTGCAGGCAGCGAACATGACCGACCCAAGTTCGATTCCTCCACCCCCCTCAGAGAGCCCGGCAAGCTACTGAGAGTATCTCGCCCGCACAGCAAAGCCTGGCAATCTACCCATATACCAAACACAGTAACAAGTCTCACAATGTTACTGGGCCCACTCCAGCAAATCCATGAACAATGGGAGGACAGTGATACAGTGATACAGTGAATGTGGGAGTACTGCTATTTGTTCAGCCCAAAGCATCTTTGAGAGAAGAGGGATGCTTCTGGACCTTAGAAATGAGCCATGGCTGCGAACCCACCCTGGCCCCCATGGCACGGAGGGGGCAATGGGCCCAGCGAATGGGCTTACTCTGATCACACAGCCCAGGTGGGTGTCCCCGCTCTTGGGGTCGCATCTCTGAGTACAGGGGGAGGGGAGAACATGAGATTCAGGGACGGAACTTGGGCCTGTCACACATGAAACCTGTCCTCTAGCCCTGGTCACAGGTCTTGGGAGTCACAGTCCCAAGCGCCTGATGGGAAGAGCCAGGGATCTGCTGGCTGGAGTCTGGCAGGAGGGTCGGGGCAGGCTGATATCAGGACTCCACGGTGGCAAGAGGCCTGGTTGGGCCTGGTCTGTCACGCTAACGTGTTTCAGGCGAGCTCTGTTCTCTTTGGCCTGATGTGGCGATGCTACTTCCTGACCAATGGGTAGGTCCTATCCCCACCCCTCACAGGGGGAAGCTGAGACCAGGCCTCAGTCCCAAGGCCAGGGACAGGAGGGAAATTGGGGACGTAGGGGCAGCACCTGTGTCTTCTCTGTCCTTTTCTGTGGACCCATCAGACTTGCTGATAGATAAAAGCCAAGACAATTAAACTTCACCTTGTTCTTGTTTGGTTTTGGGTCACATCCGGCGATGCTCAGGGATTACTCCTGGTTCTGTGCTCAGGAATCACTCCTGGCAGTGCTCAAGGGACCATATGGGATGCTGGGGATCAAACCAGGTTGGTTGCCTTTAAGGCAAGCACCTACCCACTGTGCTATTTCTCTGACCCCTAAACCTCACCTTTTTTTTTTTTTGCTTTTTGGGTCACACCTGGCAATGCACAGGGGTTACTCCTGGCTCTGCACTCAGGAGTTACTCCTGGCGGTGCTCAGGGGACCATATGGGATGCTGGGAATCGAACCTGTGTCGGCCATGTTGGCTGCGTGCAAGGCAAACGCCCTACCCGCTGTGCTATCGCTCCAGCCCCATAAACCTCACCTTTTAAAACATTTTTTTTGTTTGTTTTTTGTTCATCTTGGGCTATGTCTGGAAATGCTCAGGGGTTACTCCTGATTCTGTACTCAGGGATCGCTCCTGGTAGTGCTCTGGGGGTCACATGGGATGCCAAGAATTGAACCCAAACCTGGATCTGCCAAAAGTCCTACAGGGTGTGCTATCTCTCCTGCCCCACCTTTTGTTTGTTTGGGGGTCACACCAGGTGGTACTCAGTGCTTATTCCTGGTTATATACTCAGGGATCGCACCTGGTGGTTCTTATGGCATCATATGGAGTGCCAGGAAAGGAACTCTGGTCAGCTGTGGGTAAGGCAAGCACTTTCCTCATGTATTATTTCTCCAGTCCCAAGAAAAATAAACTTCTAAGGTTAAAAAACAAAACAATAAGAGGACAGTTGGAGTGACAATATAGCAGGTGGGGCATTTGCCTTGTAGATAGTTGACTGGGGTTCGGTCCCCAGAACACCGCATGATCCCTCAAGCCTGCCAGGAGCGATTCCTTAGCACAGAGCCAGGAGTCAGTCCTGGGCATAGAGCCAGGAGCCATCCCTGAGCACAGAGCCAGGAGTCATCCCTAAGCACAGTTAGGAATCAGCCCTGAGTACAGAGCCAGGAGTCATCCCTTAGCACAGAGCCAGGGGTCATCCCTTAGCACAAAGCCAGGAGTCATCCCTAAGCACAGAGAGTCAGGAATCAGCCCTGAGCACAGAGCCATGAGTCATCCCTGAGCACAGAGCCAGGAGTCAGCCCTGAGCACTGCTCATTTTATTATGGTGGTCTCTCAGCATGTGCAGGAGGCTGGGGCCACCCCGGCCCATATGGTTCAGTGGCTGTCAGAGGAGGAGTGTCAGGGACCTCCAGAGCCACCTGGGGAGTGGCCACGTGGTAGCAGGGGACAATCAAGGCTGTGCCCCAAACCCCTATTGTCTGCACTCTCTCCCCAGTCCCAAGATGTAGATTCCTTTTGGTGGGTAGCGATTTGGGACGGGGAGCCTCCAGGGCGGCACGAAGAGGTGACCAATGGTGGCAGGATCCAAACTTGAGTGCGACCACCCAAGTCATGTGCCTGAACCCCTGGGCTCTCTCTAGCCCCAGGAGGGAGCTACTTCTTTTTTTTGCTTGTTTTTTTTTGGGTCACACCCGGCGATGCTCAGGGGTTACTCCTGGCTCAAGGCACTCGGAAGTTAGTCCTGGCGGTGCTTGGGGGACCATATGGGATGCTGGGAATTGAACCCTGGTCGGCCATGTGCAAGGCAAACGCCCTACCAACCATGCTATCACTCCAGCCCCAAGAGGGAGCTTCTTGAACGAGGCTGTGAGTAGATCCCCAGGAATCCCTGAATGTCAACATTTTGGCTACCAGGGTCCCATCAGCCTTGGCCATGGCTGAGTATGTCATAGACAGCCACGTCTGTCCTATGAACGAGTCCCAAACTAGGTGGCTGCAGATAAGAACTGAGTTCCGAGAGGGGGTAAAGGGATATGCCTGAGAACCTTTCAGTATCTGTATTGCAAACCATAAGGGTCAAAAGGGGGGAGAGAGAGAGAGAGAGAGAGAGAGAGAGAGAGAGAGAGAGAGAGAGAGAGAGAGAGAGAGAGAGAACAGAGAGAGAGAGAGAACAGAGAGAGAACAGAGAGAGAAATAGAACAAGAAGAAAAGTGCCTGACACAGAGGCAGGCTGGAGGGGAGGGAAGGGCAGGAAGGAAGCTGGGGACATTGGTGGCAGGAAATGAGCACTGGTGAAGGGACGGTGTTGGAACTTTGTATGAAACACTGAAACCCAAGCAGGAACAACTTTGTAACTGTGATCCAATTAAAAGTAAAACAAAAACCCTGCAACCTTGTGGTTGCAACAAGGAATATTTACTATCCCCAATGCTGTCTGGGAAGTGGGCGTGGCTCTGCGGGCCTAGAGGCGGGGCGCTCCTAGGTGCCAATCAAAGGGGCTCCATCTCCGCGCTGTAGGCTGTCACCTAGAGACATCTGATCTTTGTCACATGGGACTCTTCCTGGAGGCAGCTGGCCCTGGCAGCTGGTTCTTCAGAGCAAGCAAGCAAGCACGTGCAATGCCAGAGGCAGCTTTTCATGCCCCGTTCTCCAAGATGTCAACCTGGCCCCCTTTCTGTATTT